ATCTTGTTTTCCTTTCACATTGTTCTCCCTTCCTGGGCTGACCTCTCCCTGGCTGGGTTCCTTGTCCTGGGCCTCTCGTGCCAGAGGGCCGGTCACTCCCCCGTGGCTCTCTCTGCTGAAGCTGCCCAGGCCAGCCTGTGCTCTGCTCTCCGCACGTGTCTCCTTGCTTGATCCCTTCGGGCCCAGCCTCCAGTCCCTGACAAGACCTCCACCATCGCCCTGAAAGGGTCCTGCATGAGAGGCTCGTCCCAGCCCAGACCCACATGCATGTTGACCCCACCGTGTAGCAGGAAGAAGCCTTCAGCCGAAGCTCCTGAGCCCACCCTGCTTCAGTGAGACGCACAGAGCGGTGTTCCCGCGGGGCTGGCGGCACTCCCCGGGCCCGCCCGTGAGGCTGACGTGTGCTGGCTGCGGCCATGCATGTGCTGGGACACACCACACCATGCCACCCCTCCCCCTCCCCATCTCTGTCTCCATCTCCCCGCTTCTCTCTCTCCTTCACTCCCCCCCACGTGCCCCCCCACTGTGGTGATGATGAATGCCCTGGGTGGGATTTGGGCAAGATTGGGCTTCTAAGGCCTGTGGCCTGAGGGCTCCAGGGACCTTTCCCGAGACTGTGGCTTCTTCGGGGGGGCTGAGGGGGTGTCCCCACAGAGGCGAAAGGGTGTCCCCTCGGCACAGCCATACGGCGGGCCTGCAGGAGGGGTCCCCGCGGGAGGGGAGGGGCCCTCAGAGACCCCCATCTGCAAGGTGCCTGGTGAGGAAGGTCACCTCCAGACTGAGACCCTGGAGGGCAGCACCACCCACCTGCCCCACCCGCCCTGCCTTGACTGGGGCCCCAGCACACGCCCACACATGTATACACGCAGACACACGCACACAGAGACACTTGTGCACATATGCACACATGCAGGCCTTCACACAAGACTCCTACACGTGACGCCCACTGGCACATATGTGCACACACACACGCAGACACACGTGCACACAGGCCACATACACACATGCAAAGGGGGACCCAAAAAACCCGGAATGTATTTATAAAAACTGTGTGTTCGTTCCTATATATTGAAACTCCAGTCGCCTGCAAAGTCCTCTCTGTGATGCTACACGCTTACCGCGATGCTTTTTCTAAGGCTCGGTACAGTTCTTGAACGCGTCTCTTCTGACGCCTTTTAGTACTTCTGCCATCTTTTTTCCACCTCTTCCGTGTGGGCAGAGCATTTCACGATGAGGACTTTCTTCATGAGGGAAGCAAAAGTCGCCCGGGGTGATGTTGGGTGAAGAGGGAGGGCGGGTACGTGGGTTGTGCCGTGTCAGGTCAAAAACTGCTGAACGCTCAGCGCCGTGGGGGCGGGTGCACCCGTGCATCTCCCATTGTGAAATGGGAAAACGGGCTGACGGACTTTCCAGAAAAAGATTAGCTGAGGTTGAACACAGCCTCTCACAACAATGCTCACTGGTCCACGGATGCTGACTTACCTGGCAGGGGAAGCCTGTACTAGAAGAGGCCTGTACTCCAAAAAATAATTCTGGGGTTTTTTGGGTCCCTCTTATACATGCATTGACATAGACACATGCACACACCTTCACACAGACACATGTCCACAGTCACGTACTTATATACACACTGACATACTGTCACACAGGTACATACACGGACACTTGCGCACATACACGCTGACGTGCATACACATGCGTACATAGTCACACGTCCACAGAAACGTGCACACATGCATGCGCAGTCACACACATACACACTAGCACAGACACATATGCACACACACTCACACGCGCCTTTTTGTACGACCTTTGCTTTTCCTGTGAACAGACCCATTCAGCCACATCAAGATTGCCAAAGGGTGACACAGGATCCCTGAAGCACTGCAGGCCCCAGCCCCTGGGGCCTCCCACTCCCAGGGCTCCTTGGCCTGGGGACCTGGGCGTGTGGCCAAGCCTGTTCTGGGCCTGTCCCTCCCCTGGGGCTTTTGCCACTGGAGGCCTCAAGGACGTTGGCCATTGCAGCCGAGGACCCCTGTGTGGCTGCCAGACCGCAGGCCCTCACCCCAGAGCTGGCCTGGCTGGCTCAGGCCTGCAGACGGGCCGCATTCAGGGCCCGTCCTCCCCGGAAACTCAGGTGGACTTGAGGGGAGATGTGCTCCCTCTGGCTCCGGCCGGTCCCGTGCCTGCACCTGTGTGGATGTTTGCTCCACCACAGCACCCGCAGGCACTCGGTGCCAGGCTCACCCAGCGTGTTCCTCGGGTGATAGCGGAGTGCCAGCCCTGCACACGGCACCCTTGCCTGCCCACGAGCTGGACATCTGCGGAAGCCAGTTAGAGACACTCTGAGAAGCGCTGACCGTGTCCCTTTGTTACTCAGGAACAAAACGCCCTTTGAGGAAGGAGCCTGTTTCTTGAGAGCCTCAGTAAAGGGCCTCTGGGATGGCAGAGGGCCAGGCCACCGGCCTTTATCCAGGTGATGTCTCACTCGGCACCCATGACCTTCACGCCCCACCCCGTTGTTTTCTTACTTATTTTTTGGGTCAGGTTCTCACTCTGCCACCCCGGCGGGAGTGCAGTGGCATGCTCACGGCTACTGCAGCCTCGACCTGCTGGGCCTAGGTGATCCTTCTGCCTCAGCCTTCCAGGTGGCTGGAACTACAGGCACGGGCCACCACGTCTAGCTAATTCTTAATTTTTTTTTTGTAGAGATAAGGTCTCTCCATGCTGCCCGGGCTGGTCTCAAGCCCTTGGCTCAGGCAGTCCTCTTGCCTCCGCCTCCCAAAGTGCAGGGATGACAGGCATGAGCCGCCGCATGCAGCCACCCCCGCCTTCTGAGGTTAAAGTTGAGCGGTCTCTGCGGTGCTTGGTGCTGGTCGTTTGGGGCCTGGTATTCAATGCTGGAAACGCTCCAGCCCTGCTGCGGCTGTTCGAGGCCCATGACTTCGCATAAACCTGCAAACCGTGACCCTGGCAGAGTCGCAAGTTCACTTTAAAATGAACTTGAAATGACTTTTAAGGAGGAGCAGGGGTAGCAGTGGAGAGTGTCAGCTGGCCTGCTCTGCCTGACGGCACTGCGAGAGGATGGCGTCTCCACAAGGGACACTCGTGCCCTCAGGCCTTGCTGGCGTCCGACTCATTCTCGCGGGCTCTCTTCGACTGTAGGGGAAATGTCTCTGTCCCATCAGGGCCCGTGATCATGAACACAGTCTCCCACATCATTCCCTAAACCTGCCACCGAGAGCCGGGGCTGTAAGGGCCTCCTCTCAAGACAGCTCCGTGGACGACACAGCCTGACCCGGCGGCCCTGGGCGCCTGTGTCGGGACCCACTCAGGACCGACTGTCTGTGCTAAGAGGGTGCTGCTTGACAGTGTGCTTCTCAGAATGGCCAAGCTGACCGTCCTTAGAGAAGCCAGGAGGGTTGCAGGGCCGGGCAGTCCTGCCCCGCCCGAGTGAGGCAGGATGGACACCGTGTGCCCACACCTTCCCCTCAGGTGGAAAACACCGTTTACTTCCACACCTGCACGAGTCATCGGTCGGTGTTTAGAGCAGGGTAACTGCGTTCAGCGGGCGGCATCCAGCACGATCAGATCATCCTTTGCAAAGCAGGGTCCCAAGCTCTGAGGGGCGTCCTGGAGGGGAATGGTTCCATCGCGTCATCCCGTGGCCCACCCTGCCTCCCGCACCGTCTGGGAATCTACAACTCTGTGTGACAATGACTCGCTGTTCTCGCTGTACAGACGTGGAAGCTGAGGCTCTGAGAGGCCAAGAGGCTAGCTGAGGGCTGCAAGGTGCCCCGGGAACTGGCGCGGTGACCCTCAGCTGCTCACGTGTGCTCTCCAGGGTTGGGGAGAGCCAGGATCGCCGTCCCCTGGCCCCGCTGTGTGCTCTGTGTGCAGGTGGGTGTGAGTGTGTGGGCGTGTGCCAGCACTCCCGCCAAGCCACAGTGGTGTTGAGTGGGCCCGTCGAGTGCACTGTGGTCGCTGGGCCTTGTGCAAGACTTGCACGCAGCTCAAGGAGCGTGCAGGGCCTGCAGGGCCGGGCAGTTCCCAGCCATGAGAGTTGCTGCTGGGTGGGGCCAGAGGAGTGCACAGACCCTAGGCCTGGCTGGCCCTGAAGCAGGAAGGTGGCCGACGTGCGAGGAGTCTGGCAAGTCCCACAAGCGGTCCGAAGGACCAGGCAGCGCTGAGGTTGTGGCCACAGTCCTACATCGGAGTGGCCCGGGCAGCGTTGGGGCTGTGGCCCGTGGTCCCTTGCGAGTGGCCTGGGCAGTGTTAGAGCCCTGGCTCGTGGTCCTGGGTGGCCTGGGCAGCTTGGGGCTATGGCTTGGTTGAAGCTGGCAGAAAGTCTTGTCTCTCGGGCGCTGCCAGGGGCACCTGCAGCTTGGTCCATGATGGACAGTTGGCGGTGGTGGTGGTCTCTGTGGCAGCATCCCCTGGCCTGTGATTGTTTCCTCCAGCCAGCCATGCAGGGCTTGCGAGAGGGAAAGACAGCCACACGCAGGCACCTGAGTGCCGACCTCCCTGGGCGGGACCGCCAGGTGGGATCTTTGGGGTGCGTTGCTCTCGAGCCCCCGGCCCTTCCACAACGCCAGAGCCAGGAAGAGTCCAGCAGAGCAGACACCTCCCATCACGGGCTGGGGTCAGGGCTGTCCCCGGGTTGCAGAGACCCATGAGCCTCCCTCGAGCCAGGAGCAGACAGCAGCATTGCAGCTGTGTCTGTCCCGGATCCCAAGACGTGTGGCTGGCGGGAGCTGTGGGGTCATCCTGCTGCACGCTTGGCATGGAGGCCAGGAGCTCATTGAGGCACTCGTCCAAGTTTGCTCCTGCAGGGAGGGCGCAGATGGACACCCAGACTCCAAATGGACCACGTCACATCAAATGACACCTCCCGGAGGTGAGCCTGTGCCACGGAAGGGTCTGCGTAGCCCCCGTGCAGCCCGACCCCAGGACACGCCCAGAGCTGTCTAGGAGCCCACGCTGTTTGAACTTCCGGATTGTCCAGCCTACGCTCTCGAGGGTTTGATTTGGCTGTTCTGCATGGCTGGAAGGTGCGTTAGTCTGCTTTGCCTGAGCGTTCGCGGCACGGCTTCCCCCTCCCCTGCCGTGGCTGCCCCCAGGACCCACCCACGGGGAGAGGAGGGCACCAGGGCCCACGGCCCCGCCCTCCCTTTCTCAGGCTTCTCCGTGTCCCCAGTCAGCCCTGCTCCGGGGGGCTCCCCATGTGGAGCCAGTGTTGCGTCTGGGACCTTCTCGTAACCTCTCTGTGGCCAGTGTCCCTCCCGGCTGTATGGCATCCTGGCCAGTTCTCTTGGGCCCCATTTATGCTGCTCGTGCCCGAGCGTGGGTACCGCCCCGAGCCGGCCCAGGAACTGTGCCGAGAGGCCAAGGCCTGCCGGGCTGCCCTGCCCTCGCTCCATGCCCACTCACCCTGGGTTGGCTGCGTCCTGCCGCTGGGCACCCAGGGCCCCTGGGGCTGCTGTGTGTCATCGGCGCCGAGGCAGCCGGATGCGTGTCCCACCCAGCCTTGCCGCGTCAGCCTCCAGATGCCACTCGAGCACCAGTCCCAGCTGCCACGTCTCGTGGATTCCGGAGGGATGGCCTCATCCCCGCCGGCTCAGGCACCCTGGGTTGTGGGGCATGGGCGGACAGAGGCTGCACAGCTGTGAGGTCAGATGCAGAGGCTGCCGGCTCCATCCCAGACCTATGCGGTGTCCCAGCTCAAGTCCCAGGCATATGGCGGCGTGGGCTTTGAGGAGGAGGAGAAGCGTGGCCCTGCTAGGTGTGCTGACCGCAGTGTCCCTTGGCCTGCCTCTCTCCTGGGCCAGCCGGGAGTCCTCTGGGCTGGGCCGGCAGGGGCCCTGGGAGGCCTCGTCCTGTGGGTCGTGGCCTGGGTTCTGTTTCACGGAGGGCTTGAGCAGGCTACAGGCCTGGAGAGCCTGAGAAGGGAGTCTTCAAGGGAGGTAAGGAGAGGATTCTGAGTGGCCGTGTGAGAGGCGCACTCCCTGAGCCGGGGCCCATCCGGGGGCCCAGGGAACCTGTGTCTCTGCGGGACGGCGCCCTACGAGGCGTGCCTGTCTACTCTGCAGGCCCCAAGGACAGGAGGCCCCGAGCTGGCCAAGGTGACGCTACTGTGAGCTTTCTCTTAGAAGTCAGGTTTGCCAGCAGGAAAGCAGCATGGGCCCAGCAGCAGTGGGTTCTTGTGACTGCTTCCCACCGGAAGCGTCTTAGACGTGACCCCTCGCCAAGCAGAGTTGCCGTGCCGACCGGCGTCCCCGCCTGCTTAGCTAAGTAGGTAGAGCATTTGGGAAACACGGTTAGGGCTGGCATGGACTCAGGAAAGCAGCGCGTTCCCAGAGGTTACCACCCCTCGGTATGTGGCCACGTGGGGCAGCTTGTTTTATGGTGCGAGTCCAGGTGGACGCGCACGCCAAGGAGAGTGCCTTAAGCCTGCTGGGCGTTCTCCACGTTCACGGCCCATCGGATTCTCACGGCAGCACTGGGCGCAAGCGTCTCCTGAAACCTGTTTTGTGAGTAGAAAGGCAGGAGTTGAGGGCGTGGCCTGTCTCGCCCCACGGTGTGAAACTGAGCCTCTGGGTGGAAGGCTCGCCCTTGACCCGCTGGGCTCCCCTCTGCGTCCCCCCTCTGAGACCTTGCTGGACCCCGCGGAGTTACAGTAGCTTCGGAGATGAAGGTATTCAGGAAAGGTTCTGGAACCTTCTGAGCCGCGTGGGTTGTGATAAACTGTGTGAGATTCTGTCGGTTCCGCACACTTTGGGCCCAGACACGTTTCCGTCTTGATGACGCACCATGTTGGGCACTGTTGCCTCACGTGGGTTTTGGCCATTTTTGGAAAATGAATCTGGCCTCAGAGGGCCAGGCTTGATCAAGAGACCACCAGAAGCCCTCACCCTCACCCTCACCGATCCGCAGGCTTGGGCAGAGGACCCTGTGGGGGTCTGTTCACAGGTGCAGCCCGCCTGAGTCCTGTGGTGGGTGTGCAGAAGCCCCCACGCCTTGTTCTGAGCCGCAGCTCCTGGGGCGGAAGCTTGCCCGGGGTCACGGGTCATCTTGGAACTGGTGGAGCAGCCCGTCCCCGAGGCCGACCCATCCCTGTGGGCAGCGTGGTGGCTCCCTGCCGCTCTTGGCTTTGCTGTGAGGGGGCTGTGAGGGACGAGAGCAGGGTCCTGGTGGTCTGCGGGGTGGCGGCCAAGGGCTCGGTGTTCCTGACGTCTGTCCATGGGAATTCCCAAGGATTCCACCAGCACCTATTGGCTCTCCTGCCTTGCCTCCCTCCATGAAGGAACCGTGAGGGTGCCGGGAGGACCACAGAGCTGAGACGGGGAGGGCTGGCGTGTCCGAACACTGAGTCGGGGCCCCCCATTAGACCCCAGCGGACCCAGCTCCTGTCCTCGGGCTCAGCGCTCTCCGAGGTGCTTCCGCCACACGTGTCCTGGGGCACACGTGCAGCGAGGGCGGCAGCCCAGGAGAGCTGGGCTTGTCCACAAGGCTCTGCTGCTGACACCAGGACCTTCTCCGGGGGGGCTGCCCCCTCAAGCCTCAGGAGCTCCAGCCAAGGCCTGCCGGGCGGGTCGCCCATGTGGTGACCAATCCCACCAGGCTTCTGGGTGGCTTAATGTTGCATTCTGTGTGCGGTGGTCACCGTGGTTCTATCTGCCCCCTGGAAGGTGGAGTTTCTGGAGGGGTGGCAGAAGGGAAGCCAGGCAGACGTCAGGTGGAGTGAGGACTTAGGTTTTAAAATTCCATTGGAGCCGGGCTCAGTGGCTCAGCCTGTAATCCTGCGCCTTTGGGAGGCTGAGGTGAGTGGATTGCCTGAGCCTGCGGGTTCGAGACCCACCTGGGCAGCGAGACCTCATCTCTACAATAAAAATCAAAAAATCAGCCGGGCGTGGTAGCGCATGCCTGTGATTCCGGCTACTCGGAAGGCTGAGGCGGAAGGATCGCCGGAGCCCAGCAGGTCGAGGCTGCGGTGGCCGGGAGCGGCCACTGCGCTCCAGTCTGGGTGACGGAGTGAGACTCCAACTCAAGAAAAAATATAAAATAAAATAAAATAAAATTCCATTGGCAGTTTGTAAATTTGGGAACCGCAGAGGCAATGCTTCCATGTTATTATAAGAGACAAACTGAAAACACTGATTTGGACTTTCCGCCCAGGGCGCTTAACTAGATTTCAAACGAAATTGAGAATTCAGCGTTTCGCCTGGGTGAAAGTTGAGGGTGCTGTGCTTCCCTGCTCATTCACTGTTCACCCTCCTGTCCACGCACTCCCTCCCTCACCCGTCCACTCGGTCACGCGCCCGTCTGCTCACTAGTCCGTCGGCTCGCTCACCCAGCATTCATTCACCTCTCCCTCCACGAACTCACCCGTCCATCTACTCACTAACCCATCGGCTCATTCACCCGTCCACCCACTCACTTACGCACCCACCCACTCACTCGCTCATCCACCCCCGTCTGCCATGGCGATGGCTCCTGAGGCCCCACGGGGACAGTCAGCACCAGGCTTGGTGCTGAGCAGCTGGATGCTATCCTCACCCCTTGGAGCTTCAGCTGATGCTGTGGCGGTCTGGGTGTTGCTTACTTCTCTAGCTGTCCAAGCCAAGCAGAGGCAGACCCTAGGGAAGAGGTTGCCCGGTGACTCGTGGCACCGTTTCCAGCCCAGAGTCCCAGCTACGGCTCCCCACCCCCAGCCCATTCCTGCAGGTCTTGCTGTTCCCGGGTCAGAGGAAGGAGGCCGAGGTTGTATGGGAGGCGTCTCTGGTCCTGAGTCCCGCCCTCCTGAAAAGCGACCTCTGCTCCTGGGGGACGCTTTTGCGAGCTTGGGAGCGTGGGCCTGATGCAGGGCCTCCAGCCAAGGGCAGCATGCCTGGACAGCGAGTCATCTAGGTGGGCACCCGAGGGCCTCAGCACCACGCGCTCTGTGTTCGGTTCCGTGGGCTGGGAGCTCCTCTGGGGACCTTCATTCCTGGCCCTGTCTGAAGGCTTTCCGTCTCTGGCCAGAACTTTCTAAGGACAATGCGAAATGGCTCTTTCTCCCGGGAGAGGAGTGGCATTTTCAGGTGTGTTTGTCTTGGCTTTGCCCTTGTTCAGGGCTGGGCCGTCTCTCCGTGGGGTTGCCCGTGAGATCAGCCCTTGCTTTCCGCCCCACCCTCTTCAAACAAGCAAGCACCCAAGTTAGGGTGCGCCGTGCCAGGGCTCCGACTCCATGGCTGCAGAAACCCACTTCCCTAGGGGTGGCGCCTGAGGGGTTTCTGTGAATCTTGCCTTCTTGAGATAGTGGAAGTCAGGCTGAGCACAGATTACACGTTAACTAGTATGACTGCTTGGGATTTTGCAAGACAGGATACACCTTTCTGGACGGTGGTGGTAGCACGAGCCTGCATGTGCTATCTAGTAGTTTGCTCTCTAGTTCTTACTCGTTTGTGATCCTTGTTTTCCTGAGCCTGGGAGGACACCTTCCATCCGCCCGAAATCTTTTACCTCAGAACCAGAGCCTTCCCTAGAGGTGCAGCCCGGGGCTTCTAGTCCCTCTCCAAACCTAGACCCACCCCCGCCCCCGCCCCCCGCGCCAGAATCCCACGAGGGTCCACCTGTCTTGGCTGGCCTGTCCCGTGCTTGGTGTTTGCCAGCTGTGACTGGAATCAGAAGGGAGAATGAGGCTGGGGCGCTGGCCCCCACACTTCAGACAGCCCCTGCCAACAGACACGCGAGCCGTCGGTGTTCCTCTCCTGGGAGCCAGAGCTTAAAGGTGCCTCCTTCCCTCAAACTCAGCGTCCTGAAAGTGCCTCCCACACAACTCAGCACCGGCGAGGCCCCCAAGAACGCCCGGCTGCCCTGGGGGCCCACCAGAGGCTCTTCGGACAAGCGCGGCGGAGGCCGGCATGGTGGGAAGGAGGTGGGGGAGGCGGTGTGAGGCCGTGCGGGGCCGTCGGGCGTGCTGCAGATAGCACCGGGAGCCGCCCTGGCCTGCCGCTCAGCAGAACTCTGCGCAAGGCGCCCCGCCAGTCCCCTGAACCGCGAGCCACGGAAGCCCAGCTGCAGGATCTCGGGCAGATTCCACAGCCATCTGGAACCCCGGTTCCTCATTCCTGATCATGGGGCTGAGGTCCTTCCTGGAAGGTGGCTGCGAGGCTCTCACAAAACAACATGAAAATGCTGAATCACCCAGTGTGCCGTAGCTACTGCGTCTCGTGGCTGCTGGTGCCGTGCCAGCCGGGCTGTGGCCTCTCGGTGTCAGTGGAGAGGGGTGTTTAGGGCCTGGCCTCTATGGCTGGCCCCCAGCGGAGGGCAGAGGCTACTTGACCCAGGCTGCGGCCCTCGTCTCTGGGTCTCGAAGGTGGTCCATCCTCAGACCAAGAGGAGGGCAGGAGGGTCAGGACTTGACGCCCCTGGCGTGGACCGCATAAGCTACCATGCCTCGGCAGCTGCGGGTGTTTGACAGATTTGAGCCTTGCCAGTCCGCGTCTGTGTGTCCACAGATAGAGGAGGGGTCTGCAGGTTTTTGAGAGAGCCCTGACGTCAGGGGGACCGAGATCTGGCTTTTGTGTGAACCCTTTCCCACTCTCTGAGCATGCCGTCCCCAGACACACTGGGTGGCGCTTTCCAAGCAGCTGCATTTGATGTGAGACAGCTTCTGCTCACTGTCTGACCACGCGGTCGCTCCGACGGCTTCGTGAGCCTGCCTTCTGCAGAAGCTGCGTCAGCAGGCCGGTCTCCTCCTTTGCGGCAGGGTGGCTTTTTGGGCAGCTGCCCTGCTGTTTGGAGCCAGCTGAGACGTGCCTGCCCATGGCCTCTCGAGAGCCCATCTCTGTCTCCTGGGAAGAAAGGCTGGTAAATCAGCTACTGATGATGTCTGCAAAGCCTCGTGCCGTGCCCGTTAACGGCGCCCTTTTTTCCTCTTTCTCCACAGGACTACTTTTACCCGAGATACTTAGGTAAGTCCCAGTCACCACCTTACTTGAGTGGGAGAGGCAGCACGGGCAGGCGTGCTGCGTGTGGGAGAAACTCCGCCCCCGGGTCACTCCTGAAGTAAAGACCACCCAGCTCCACGGTGTGCTCGGAACGGCCCGGAACACGCAGGTCAACACTTGCCTCTTTATTCCATGCCGCAGTTTGCTCAGCGTTAGCTGAACCTTGGGCGAATGCCATTGTTTGCAAACCTCCCCCGTGTTGACCCAGGCTTAGCCCCTTGCTGGGAAACGTGACTGGCCTGGCCTCGAGCTTCCTGCCCCCAGGACTTGCCACGCTTGAAGTTGCCGAGGACCCCAGGGGCTTTGTCCACGTGGGCAGTATTGATAGTTACCATATTAGTCATTGAAATTGAAGCCATCAGGGAGTGTTTGTGTCATCTGAAGAATGGAATGCCCGCATACTCTCAGGGCCGGGGTGTGGGGCGGCCTCTGAGCCCTCTTGCGCCTGGGCGAGGGGGTAGTGAAACGCTAAAGTGCAGCCCTGGTCTCACAGACAAGTGCTTTGCCCTCACGGACTCCCCGAAGGAGGCCCAGGCTGCCCTTTGTGAGCGGCCTGTTCAGTTGAGACCATTCAAAAGTTCCCCGAACATACATCACTGAAAAGGTGGAAGTGTAGCCCTGGGTCCGCCTTTTTAATTGTGTCACCTCCTTAGAAAATGTACTGGCGAATGATGTCTTCTTAGAGCCGCCTTCTCTGAGTCCATAACTGGCACAAAGTGGACCCATTAACTAGCCGAGACACCCAGGAGCCTGGTGGCTCCTGGAGGTGCTGGGACTAAGTTCCAAGGCAAAGAGTGACCAGTTGTCCCATCAGCCCATCCCGAGGGTCCTGTGAGCCCAGCCCAAGGGTCCCCTGAGCCCACCCTTGAGGGCCCCATGAGCTCATCCCAGGGTCCCATGAGTCTGTCCCAAGATAAGATAAGCAGCGATGGCCCTTGAGCGCCCGCTGTGAAGTTTTGAGTGGTTCCCGGCTCACGTCCACGGGCCACGCCCACCATGCCCAGCCCTGGTGGCCTGTCTCCTGTCGAGCTTGGAGGGGATGTCTTCAAGGCTGAGTGGCTTTCGAGTGAAGTGTTTCCTGGCAGAGGCTGGCTCGGGAATACGGTTTAGCTCCAACTCCTGTCGGACACGAGCTGCTTCTGTAGTGGGGCGGGGCAGTCCCAGGCTGCGCCAGCCGGCCAACCGCGCTCATGCCTGGGGCTGAGGCACACCAGGGGGGCAGCCCCCGTGTGTCGGACGCAGCACTTTGCGTCCTCTGCTGGCGGGCGCGAGCACCCCTGGTGGAGCGGCATCTGCTTCCCAGAGCTCCCGAAGCCGGTCTGGAGTCCGCCCCGCCACGAGGCTCAGCGGCAACTCCTGTCCCTTGCAGAATGCATCAACAAGCACGGATCTCCCTACACCAAACACCCAGACTTCGCCATGTGCGTCCAAAGTAAGTGTGTCTCCTTCCTCCTCCTGTAAGCGCTGTGGGAGTGTCCTGGGCACTCCGCCCCTTCCCGAGGCCTGCTCCTTCTCCACTCAGCGCTCTCTTCCAGGCCACTGGGTTGTGTTGTCTCAAATGGGCAATACACGCACTTGGTGGGGTGTGAGCACTTCCTGGGGTGTGACGAGAGAACAGGTCTGCCTCCAGGTGTCTGGGCCCTGAGGTCTCCGCGCATCTCGTCTGGTGCGCCTAGACACGTGTGAGATGCCGGTGTCTGCACACCTGGGGACGCTCCATTTGCCCCTTGGGTCTGGGCTGTCGGTCTGGAGACCCCGTCCCATCAGGGGTGGCTCGTTCCGCGTCGGTGTTTGCAGTTGGTGCCAGTGGACCTTGGGATGATTCTCAGTCTCTTCTCCAGACAGGATGTGAGTTGTGTTCTCGTGCACCGTGCTTCTCGCGTGCTAAGTGTGTCTGCCGGACACGGTCTTGGGCGGGTCCGGCCAGTCCTGGTCCATCTTTATGTCGATACAGAGTGTGACCCCACAGAGGCTGAGCGCCCACCTGGCCTGCCCCAGTCGGGTGTTTCTTAAACGTTGACTCCCCGCGGCCATGGGTGAAAACAACACCACCATGCTCCTTTTGGAAGTGAGCATGGCTGGGCAACCCCCTCGGGTCCCCATCCCACTGTGGGAGCTTTTCCGTCTTCTCAATAAATCCTGCTTTCTCAAAAAAAAAAAGAAAAAAAAAGAAGTGAACATGGCTGAGCTTCACGGGTTTATGATCCGTGTGTTTCTTTTCCTGGGAACCGTCCAATCATAGCCTTTGCCCATTTTTTGCAACTTGCAGGAATTTGTAGGGGAGCCATTAACAAAGTTTCTTCTCAGCTTGTCACAAGTCTCTTACTAATATTATTTTTAAAGTATCATGCACCGGGCTCAGTGGCTCAGCCTGTAATCCCGCGCCTTAGGGAGGCTGAGGTGAGTGGATTGCCTGAGCCCGCGGGTTCGAGACCCCCCCCTGGGCAGCGAGACCGCATCTCTACAATAAATCAAAAAAATCAGCCAGGCGTGGTAGCGCACGCCTGTAATTTCGGCTACTTGGAAGGCTGGGGCGGAAGGATCGCTGGAGCCCGGCAGGTCGAGGCTGCGGTGGCCGGGAGCGGCCACTGCATTCTAGTCTGGGTGACAGAGTGAGACTCCAACTCAAAAAAAAAAAGTATCATGCAGTGAACTTGGCTTTTTTGGCTGTGCACTCTGAACATAAACACACGCCCAGATTCATGACCGCCATGCCGTCGAGACCACACGGCCCCATTGCCCTTCTCTGTCCTTCCAATTCCCACGAGCGAATCTTTGAGATGATGTCCGCCTCAGGCGAGCCCCGCTGGGGGCTCTGTGCCCAGCCTTGTGGTTAGATTTAATCTTACTGTGCCCATTTCACAGGTGAGGGAACCCGCTGGCTGGGGGGGAGGCCTGGAGAGTGCGGGCTTTGGTCTCCAGCATGGGCTCAGTTTCTGTGTCTTCCTTTCCGAGGGTAGTCCCGGCTTCTCTGCCGTCCAGCGTACATCTGGCGGGGTTTGGTGCTTGGGTTTCTTGACTCCTGGTTTTGCCAGAAGGCTGCGTTCCCACGGGCTGTGGGCCAGGCCCGGCCATCTGGATTCCCCAGGGAGGAGCCAGGGCCCTGGCTGGGACCAGAGCGTGCCGTCCCGCCCCTAGCTCGTCCCCGCCCTAGCAAGGCCTGTGGCCATGGCATGTGCGCCGCCTGTCACAGTCGCACGCTTCCTCCTGACCCTTGACACAGCCCCTGGCAGTCGAGGCGAAGCCTCTGCCTCCTCCGACTGAACACGCCAGCCCGGCCCTGAGTGTCAGGCACCTGCCAGGGCAGAGTTAGCCCGTGAAGGAGGAGAAGGAGTGGGGAAAACCATTCGTTTGTGAGAGGAAGACAGACGGTAGATCACGTGATGAATAAAGGCAAACACCAGTTTACAGGCGGGATGAGAACGGGAAACCGAGGCAGCCCAGGGACTGGAAGCCACGTGACCCTTCTGCGGGTGGCGTGAGGCCTGCACACCTTGTCTAATGAGGGAGCTGTCGGGCCAGAAGTCCTTCCACTTGCCAGGTGCTCTGAAGCCCTCGCACCCGGCCCATCCTCCTCCCTGAGGGTGGCCACGCTAGGATTGCTCAGGCCTTCCAAAAAGACCCCGAGGGCTGCTGCCCCGGGGGAGCCCTGGCAGCTTGGGGTCCAGAGCCGGAGGGAGCTGTCCAGGACCACAGCCTCTGCCCAGACACTCCAGCCGGTGCCGTGAAAGGGCTCTTTGAGCTCTGGGCGTAACAGCCGTCCTGGCTGCCAACTTCTCGAACCTGGGGATTGCGTCATCCTGCCCGGGCGCTTTCCGGCCTGGCTGGCGGCATTGTTTGGGGTTCTGTGTCATGGAAACGTCAGCCATGTTGGTGGGGCTCCTGGCATGCAGGACTCCCAGGAAAGACTCCGCCAGGGCAGTGCCCCCGACGGCCGGCCCTCCACAGGCTGGGCCCCACGGGCCAGCACTGCCTCCCTGTGGCCTGCTCTGCCCTCTGGAACTCCGCCCAGGGGTCGTGGATCGAGGGGGTCGGAACACACCTGGCCGAGCGCCATCACTTGGGGGCCGTGGTGAAGCGGAAAGGGCCCCCCACGCCTGGGCTGGGCCAGGATCTCTGTCCTGGGCAGGTCCCGCCACACCGGGGAGTGCTCGCCCTTTTTGGTCTGGGGCTGGCCGGGAAGGCAGAAATGCCGCCAGGATGCTGGAATGTTCTGAATCTGCCTGGAAGCCCGGATCAGCTGGGTGCTGCCTGACCCACTCCCTGGGAGGTCTGGCTTACCTGCTCTCCACCCTGCCTGAGGCCGGCAGCTGCTCCCGGCTGTCTGGGGTTTCCTGGAAGTGCCTCAGGGCCTGGTAGACCTGTTCCTCACAACTCCTCTTCTGCCCAGGGGCGGGGCTTGCTATGGCCAGCCTGGTTGGCGCAGGGGACACGGGGCCTGGGCCAGCCTCATGTGTCCCGCTCAGGGCGCCCGGGGCAGGGCTGAGCCCGCACGGCCGCCCTGCCCCGCTGCATGGGAGCTCTGGGCAGTTGAGGATGGTCTCTGCTCTGTGTCCTCCGTCCAGACCTGCCCGACCAGTGCACCCCGAACCCTTGCGACAAGAAGGGGACCCGTGCCTGCCAGGACCTCATGGGCAACTTCTTCTGCGAGTGCGAAGCCGGCTGGGGGGGGCGGCTCTGTGACAAAGGTGAGGCCACACCTCAGCAGGGCGCCCTGGGTCTCCTCTGCCCCCACCCGGGGTGGGGGCCTCCGCAGAGGGACGCATGGGGCCACTGTCCCCATGAGGAGCCCTGAGCTCGGACTGGGGAGCTGGGCTCCGGGCTCCTTGGGGAGCAGGGCTGGAGCGAAAGGGACCCGCACTGGCTCAGACTCTCCGAGGGCAGTGGCTGCCCCCCGGCCTCCCTGGAGTGCCATCCTGGGGGCCAGCCATGACCTGCAGGAGAAGCAGCCGCACCCGGTGAAGGTTTCACTCTGCTTGAACCCAGCAGACGGCGGACCCTGCCCTGAGCGGTCCTGGGAGGGTCCACCGAGGCCCCTCCCTGCCCCTGGCCAGGCCGTGTCCATCCTTGGGCACCAGGTCACTCCTGGCCTCCCCCTCCTCCCATGAGCACCTGGGGGCCACAGAGCAGAGGCCTGTCTGTCACCAACAGCCCCTCCAGGCTGAGACGGCAGCTGGGGTCCCCCATGCCTCCTGCTGTTCATGACATATGCGGCCCAGGGTGGGGCAGGTGGTGCGCCCTGGGTCCCCTCCCCGCTCGGGGCGGGCTGTGCACCCCTGGTCCTCCATGCCCGGCCCTGTCCCCAGATGTCAACGAGTGCAGCCAGCAGAACGGGGGCTGCAGCCAGATTTGCTACAACCGACCGGGCAGCTTCCACTGTGCCTGCTACAGCGGCTTTGAGCTCTCCCCGGACAGCAGGACCTGCCAGGGTAAGGCCTCGGGGTCTGGCTGCACCCAGACTCCCCGCACCCCGCTCCCCTCCCTACCTATGCTGTTGGGACCTGTGCCCCTCTGGGGAGCCTGGGTGACGGGGGCCCTGGTTCTGGAAGGGACGGGCCAGCCCGTAGAGACGGCAGCGGCCCAGGTGTGCCGGCCCAGAGCCGCCCGCTGCAGAGGTGATTCACGGACAGGAGAGGCTGGACCCAGGCCAAGGCTGTGCTGCTGGCTGCTGGCTGCTGGCATCCTCCCGCCTGGGCGCCCTTCCCCTCTGGGTCTCGACTTCAGGCTTGGGACACGCCTGTCCCCTGCGCCACCTCCCCAGGGCCTATCCCTGGTGCTGGTCTCCCTCGACTGTCTCCCTCCCGTTCGGTCCTGCAGCCGGTCACACCGGTCCCCCCAGCCTGGCCAGAGCAGGGAAGCCCTGAGGACACCCCGAGCGTCACTGCCAGCACCCACACGACCCTGTCCCTGGCGTGGCTGTGGGCTTTGCCGCCTGCAGGGCCGCCTTCCTTTCTCCTGCCCCGCCACCTGGACATCCCTGAGCCTGGGGGCGGGGGTCTAGTGCGGCCGCTGGCTGGCCCGCG